TCTCTCTCTCTCTCTCCCCCTCTCTCTCTCTCCCTCTGTGTGTGTGTGTGTATGTGTACGTGTTACGTGTCTTTCTATATTTTACATACATATTATTTACATTTTGAAAGATAGGTGTTTTACGCCTCCATTAACACAACTTGGATCATTTAGAAGGAAAACTCTCGACCCAGCTTATCAGGGCCAACCTGGGATGATTAGGAAACAACATCCCAGAAGAAAGACCGAGATACCCTATAAAGATTCTCTCTACTTGGGAATCAAACTTGGGTCTTCTGCATGCTAAGGAAAAGCGCATAAGCGCTACACCACAGACACTGATATTTTTTATGTATACATATATTATGCATAATATACACGCAACGTCTATAAATATCTCTCTTGCCCTTTTTAACTCCCAGTGGAGCATAGGCCATCGACAACATTCTGAAGCCTGTCCTGTGCATCCTTCTATAGCTGTTTCCATGATGTCGTCGCCTTTTCCATTCCCGCATACCACTCGCCTCCATGTCATCTTTGGTCTTCTGGTCGACAGGAGGTTTCTCGGCTTGGTGGCTTCCTTTCGGCTTTCACCACCCTACGTCATTCTACACTCCTCTCCTCTCCTCGGTGATGAAGGTCCTCCATCTTCCAGAACTGGCGGTCGTGTTGTTTTTGCTATTGATGTTTTTGTAGAGCTGCTTTTTGTTTTACGGGAAAGGGCTGCTAATCCTTTGCCCAAACGACCTTAGTCGCCTTCTACGACATGCGCGGTACGGATACAGTGGTCCTATTCTTTGCTCCTTTGTCTCTTGGACAGGGCCCCGGGAACCACATGGGTGAACGTATATATTATATACGCATACATAAACACACACACGCTCTCTCTCTCTCTCACACACACACACACACACACATACACACACACACACACACATACACACACACACACACACACACGGTAACAGTTGTTCCAACTCTAATGAAATTCAAACAAAAGCTATTGACAGTTATTTGTTACACAATCGACATCCAATTTGAAAGTCAGTATGTTGAAAAATGCGGATTACATCTTATAATTTAGTCTCCGCCTAAGATCCCTCCGTGTATGATCCCCCGCTGTTTTAATTAAGAAAACAGAATTATGCTATACAAAAGTGACCCATAAGATCCCGTTCTGATTCACTCTCACGGTCAACATTGGGCTAAGATGCCGCATTTCAAATCATAATCTACGGAACAAACACCCGAGGCGGACACAGCCGATCAACCACGAGTGACTAGTTGCGATCATTGAACTGCCCGTCGCGTCAAAGATCAACCACTCTCGTGAATGTGATCACATGCGTTGTAAAACTCGATGAAAGGGTACAATGTTTAGCTGAAGACGGGATCACACCGAGGTGGGAACTGACCGACGCGTTTGTTCTCGCTACACTTCGCACTCGCATCTGAGCTCTCCACCTAATTCGCTCCTGAAGGGATCACGTCGAACTGTGTACTGTGGTCAGGGAAGAGTACACAGTTCGATGTGATCCCTTCCCTGACCATTGCAGCAACTGTCTCAACTCCCGAATTTGCAAGACAGATTGAATTTCAGTTGGTGTGGTAAAAAAAAAAAAAAACGTAACGGTGCGTAACGACAAAGACTGGGGAACTCGGTCAGAGACGGAAAGCTATCAATTTTGGACAAGTAAAGTAAAGGGGAGGGGCAACTGGACAAGCGTAGATCTTGAAACTCATGATAGAATAATAAGTGAAAATGGCATGCCTCGCCTCATAGAACAAAACGTTATCGTCGAAAATCAACAATAGGATGGGCTGCAGTCTGCCATCAAACAACACTATCCTTGGAAGGTATGTAGATTC